TCAAGATGTCGCTAAATCATTTAAAGATCAAGTAAATATATTTATTTTAATAACGATTAGTTTTATTAATTTTCTCTTAAACATTTTATTTAAAACATTTAATTTTTTTTTTCCCCCTAGGTTTTGTTTGTTTCAATTAACACAGACGATGATGATCACTTAAGAATTTTAGAATTTTTCGGTATGAAAAAAACAGATACTCCTTCGATGAGGTTGATCAAACTTGAAGAAGAAATGGCCAAATACAAACCAGTCGATGATAAGGTTGAACCAGATAACGTTAGAAAGTTTGTTGAAGATTTTCTTAGCGGTAACCTCAAGGTGAGGTACAAGTTCTCAAACTCATCACTTTTAAATCGCTTTCACTTTTCTACAATTATTAACAGAGAGAGATGATGGTTTACCATTGTAAAAAGTGTTGAAACATAATAAATTTTTACAGCTCATTCTTTAATTTAAAATTTTTTAAACTTTATGCGAGTTTGAATGAGCTCACATGTCACACATGTTTAAAAATTGATTACGTCATTGGGCTAATGACCCTCAATTCATAGTAGATAGTAACTGTTAAGTTTTTTTAATTTTTCTCAATTAAAAATCGAATCACATTATATTTTTAGCAACATCTTTTGTGCCAAGACCTTCCCGAAGACTGGAATAAAACTCCGGTACATACATTGGTGGCATCTAATTTCGATGAAGTTGCATTTGATTCATCAAAAGACGTCTTGGTGGAATTTTACGCTCCTTGGTGTGGTCACTGTAAACAATTGGCTCCCATTTATGATCAGGCAAGTTCCTCCGACTTTAACAGGTTTTTTTTTTTTTTTTTTTTGGTTATTTATAATCAGTATCTTATTTCAATGCTTTTTTTTTGTTTGCTTTGCTCTACAGTTGGGAGAACATTTTAAAGACGATGATAAAGTTGTCATTGCTAAAATGGATGCGACGGCCAATGAACTTGAGCACACGAAAATTTCAAGTTTTCCAACTTTGAAATTGTACAAATCGGGAGACAACAAAGTTGTCGATTATTCGGGTGAAAGAACACTCGAAGCTCTCATTAAATTTATCGAATTGGGCGGCGAAGATTTGTCAGGACCCGAAGGAGTAAGTCAATATATATATATAAATTTTTTAACTCGAAAAAACAAACTTGCTGAAAGTTATATATATATATATATATATATATGACTAAACAATTTTATTAACTTTCTTTTATCATCAGAATTCACTCGTGATAAATTTAAATGGAAAATTGCGCAATCATTTTTATTTAACTGTAATCGTAAGTGGAAAAAAAAAAAAAAAAAAAATTATTCATTTTTCTAAAAAAAAAAAAAAAAAAAAAAAGGAAATTTATTTTTTTCGAAGGTCATCATCGAGTGAATAACATTTTCTAAAAGTATTTAAATATATTTTATTCTTTTTTATTAACAAATCTTTTCGAGGCTGGGTCACGTGGTTCGGATAAATTTACTTGTTTGCACGGTTACCTACATTTATAATATTCGTGTAAAAAATACTTGTGCGAATTTTTTATTATTATTATTATTATTATTATTCCACGGCGCGTAGTATTTGGATAAATCGTAATTTGTTGAATTCCAGATCCGAAAAAAAAAAATGATTTAAATTTGAAAGAGAGTAATAATAAATTATTACATCTTTCTCAAGCATTCACTTCATCTCATTAAATAAAAGGTCAATGAATTATGTGGCACTCGTTTAAGTTATATAATTTACTTATCGCAAATAATTATTTTAAAAAAAAATGGCTTCCTTTTCCGATTAAGTTCAAAAATTTAAAAAAAAAAAAAGAATTTTCTTGGCCTACTGGAAAATAACAATGAGTTGAAATAAAAAAAAAAATAAAAAAAAAAAAAAAAAGAAAGAAAAAGCGAGAGAAGAATTTAAACTACTTGTAATACCGCACGCACGAGAGAGAAATAAAA